CGATTAGCCTCTAACTAGTGTAATGTGTAACTTGCATTTAGGACTTTAATTAAAGAAATGCAATAACACAGAATGTAACTGTTGACACGTACATGGACATTGCCCTGAAAGGGGTCGGAGCAAGTGCGGTTTACTCCGTCCCTCATGTAGTATTACCAATCTACATTCACAGTAGACAAAGCACAGTCCGGAAAGTGGAAGAGGTCCCAGAGTACCTGACCCTCCTAGGTAACAAAGACCTAAATTCCGACCAGGAGAGAGAGAGTGTGTGTGTATCGTGCAGCTGCAAAAACCTGCTGCAGAACATACTGTGTGTTATTAACAGGAGTGATAGTTTAGTGATTTTCCACCTTCTATATCTCGTACTGTGGTAATCTAAACTAGTACACATTTTCAGTGGATGTCCTCAACTAAACTCTTACTTCACATACCAAATTTCAAAGCAATACATTAAGAAATACCTGACATATAACATCTCCAATTTTGATTGAGTTTCCTATTTGTTTCTTTTCACCAAAGTACAAAAACTTGATTTGGTGGATTTGTTTTCAAATTTGGCACACTGATAGACCTGTTCAACCTATAATTAGGAGTCTCATTTGGTGTAAGTATAAGCCACATGTGCAAAGTTATTCAACAAAAAATGCTCAAATTTGACGAAAATTTTTGCACACGCTTATACAAAAAGACACGTGAACTATTGATCTAACATATTTACTACAGCTTTCTCTAAGAGTAAAAGTGGACCATTTTTAGTTTTTTTTGTCATGCATATTAAAGACAGCTGATTTAGAGCAGCAAAACTATAAGGTGAAAGGACTTGCAGTTACATAAGTATTGGTTAGGTCAAGCAAACTAAATTCTAGCTCAAGTTTCCAAAAGAATCATATTGGTGGATGTTTATTATTGATTATTCATTATCAAATTTTCAACACAAATTTACCTAATTTTATGAAATCATCCCAATTAAAGAGAGTTTAGCATCACGTGGTATTAGCTTAAGCAATTAGCATAAATAATGATGCTTGATATGGCTGAACCGATTGCATGGGTGTGATGACAAGAAACTGTTAATCTAAATTCCAAGGCATTACTATAAAAGAAGCTATTAACACTGTTTTGGAGAGGGAAAACTAGCATCATATATTTCAAATAATCTGGCTGGTTCTGTAAAGTAAAGGAATAATACGGTTGTGGCCATAAAAACTAATGTGTGTTACTATCGAGTGTCACATTTTTACTTGCTATGGTTTGTTGGTGTGTACTGGCAAAAACATTTGGTGTGAAAAAAGTTGCGACCAAGAAAGGACAGAGTGTGCAACTTAAAGGAATGAAATCAAAATTGGCAGCCAAACTGGTAGCTACACTTATAGCACTGATAAGAATTTTATAGCAAATATTCATTCATTAGCTAGCTAGGCCACGTTTTTTTTTTTTTTTTGTTTTACCCACCATCATGCTCCAAGTTGTGCTTCTTGTTGAAAGACCATTTATAGACTTTCGAAAAGCTTTAGGCGAAGATGGGGTGCTGCCAAACCATGAAGAAAACACATTCCATAAGTTGGCAGTGGCGGCATACTGTGACAGAAAGCACGTAGAAGAAAATCCTGCAGATCGTGTGGACATTCGATTAGAAAGACAGCGACAAAATCAGTATGAAAGGAATAAGGCTGCACTAGGAAGTATCATAGAATGCATTATCTTTCTGGGCCGTCAAGGATTAGCGTTACGTGGGCACAGGGATGATTCTACAGCAGATCCTTCAAGAACTGATCGAATTTCGTGCAAAGACGGGTGAGGTGCTGTTGTATTCAAATCTTTATTTCTTTTTTCTTGTTGAAGCACTTATTTAAATCTTTCTTTCTTTCTTTCTTTTAATTCAATACGCTATTCAAATTATATATGAAGTATATTACACGATATTCAAATATGTGTTATTTTGTAAAAAAAACATTTATGCAAATTACTTTGTGTGTATATATATAGAGTTGCTTTTCTAACATTATCAGTTTACCTTTTTATTTTTGCTGTTCACTTTTTTGCTGAATAAAGCTCTAAGTCACCTTTCTATCTTCACCACAGGTGCTAAGGACCTTCACACTGTCATGCCCCAAAAATGCAACATGCATATCGAAAACCACTCAGAATGACATCTTTGAGGTAGTGGGTGACGTTATTCGGGAGTCAATAACATCAAATATCTGTGATGAACATTGCCCTTTCTTTAGTATCATTGCTGATGAACTCACAGATGATATTGCAAACAAACAGATTTTGTCATTTTGTGTCAGATACCTCAAGTACGTTGAAGGTGACGTCTCTAACATTCAAGAGGGCCTGTTAGCTTTCATTTATACGGAACGGGGCACAGCAGTCCATCTTGTCAAGGTAATTTGCTCAAAACTGATAGAATGTGGATTAAATCCCTCTAATATTCGAGGACAATCATATGACACCACCTCCACAATAGCCTTCGATAATCAAGGAGTACAAGGTATCTTTCGCAGAGATGTTCCAAGTGCTTTTTATACACCATGCAACAGCCATAAGCTTAACTTGATTATTGCGTCTGCATCAAAACTGTCGCAGATTCGGAACTGCATAACAGCCGCAATGACACCTGTTTGTTTTTTAATGCATCACACAAACACCAAGGTTTCCTGGAGAAGGTCATTAACATTGTTCACTCAAGAGATGAAGTTCAGCATTCGCGACAGCATAAACTTAAGGGACTGTGCAAGACAAGATGGGTTGAGCGATTTGAGGCTTTCGACAATTTCATTGACTTGGCACCAGCGGTAATAACTACTTGTGATATAATTGTCAGTCCGCACTTATACCAAGAGGACGCCGATATCTGTTGCTTAATCGAGGATGAGTGGAATTGGGATGCAGAAACGAAAATCAAGGCCCAGGGAATCTTAGGTATCATTAATTAATTAATATGTCACTTAATTCTTTCAAAATTTTCTTTTTTCTTATATCATCTGTATTGTTTGTATTTTGTATTTTTATATAATATCATTAAAGTCTTTTTCTTCTTAGGTAATTTTGATCAATTTGAGACCATTGTGTCCTTAGTTGTGCTGAAAAACGTTTTGGCACCTCTGAGGGAAATCTCCCACAAGTTACAGCAGCGCGATCTCGATGTCCGGTCAGCATATTCTTTGCTGTCCTCTGTCAAGAAAGACATCGATCTATTAAGGTCAGAAGTAAACGACCGATTTGAAGGCCTTTTGATTTGCATTACAGAAATAATGATTTTATAACACAAAATTTATTGCTTTTATTTACATATGTTTACTCTGTTTGTCGTTTTAACATGCCAATCAATTTATTGTTTCATTTTCTTGCAAAATAAAGTTTTCTTTATTTCTTGCAGGTCAACCCACCCAGCCAAAGACCCGAAGGAGTATTTCAAACGGGCGATTGTGATACCTTTTATTGATGATGTGAATACACAACTGGCTGAGCGATTCTCTGACTCATCTATCACAGCTATTTCAGCATTCATGTAGTTGATACCATCAGTGATAAGAAGTATGGACTTGAAAGAGATATCGACATTGGTGGACCAACTTTCAGGATATGAACCAGACATTACTCGTCTTGGTAGTGTTATAAATTTATTATGAATTTCATTTTTATTTTCTGTTTGTTGTTTTCTTTCATGTTTGTTATTTCTGTTCCATTCAATGTTTTAATGGCTTGCCTAACGCTTTACTTTACTTTTTAGCTTCGTTATTAATTAAATAAAGCCTTAATTACTAAGATAAATTTTCATTACTTTATTTCAGGTAGTTTACAAACTGAGCTAGAGATTTGGCGAGGGAGGTGGAAGAATTGTGAGAACTCTCCAGATACTCTAATCAGTGCCCTCAAATCTGGCTCTAAGGATTTGTTTCCAAATCTTAATGTGCTGCTTCATTCCTATCACTAACTGCGAAGCAGATAGATCATTTCCGGCTGTTCGACGAACGAAGACGACGCTGCGATCAGTGATGTTGGAGGACCGCCATAGTTCCCTAGTATTGCTCAAGATAGAAAGGATATGAAAGTAAATTAAAAATAATGTGGCTTTGTTTTCTAGTACAAAGCTACACGATGGGTTATTTCTGCTCTGCCCACCACCGGTATCGATTTTTTAGTGTTATAAGCCCTCAGACTTAACGTCGAATTACCGGGAAGTGGGAAATAATGTGCTCTAAATTCATTTTGGCAGTGCATAGATAGCCTTAGATGACTGCTAGTTATAAAGACTAGACCAATCAAAACGCTGATTAGAAAATCGCGGGAATTACTTCTATAGCCTATAGGGGAATGTCAAATAAAATTCTGTGAATAATTAGGCTTTAGGCGTAAGTTTACTTGAGCTTATGTTTAGGCTAAATTAGAGAGATTGTTGGTATTACGTGAGTGATAGCTTAAAACTAAATGCGTTATTAAACGTAAAAGTAGAATGAGCAGTAAAAGCGACCGAAGAACTTATGAAGCGGTTGAATTCAGGTACTGAGCTGTTTATAATTATAGCCTAGGTCTAATATTAGTAGTACTACACCTTTGTTAAGATTGGATTAATAAAAACCAAACAATATCATAACCAAATTTGAAATTTGTGAACTGTGTAATATAACTATTTTAATTCGTGGAAACTCTGATAAGGAGTATGCATTTTTAGTTTTAACAGTTGAAGTTGAAGTTAGTTCAAGTTGAACTTTTAAAATTTTATCATGTGCCAAATATATAGTTTCTGAGAGTGAGAGTCATTATGCAGATTAATGAAAAATAGGAAAATCATGTAAACTGTATTATGCCATGGTATTGCAATAGTGTCCCCTTGTAACTTAATGAGAGGGGATAAAGTTATCCCAGATAACTTTGTGGGTCGTATAATACTATTGTATACTTAGTCAGTTAGTGTCATTTACCCCAGTAACTTTGTCACATTGTATGTTCCAAATCTGTTCATTTAGAGTGAACATCTGTTTACTGTTTGTTTGTAATGAGGTCTTTAATTTATTTTTCAGAAGTCTATTAACACTAGAAACTCCTGGTGACTGGAAGATTGCCAGTATGAACCCTATCTGAAAAATAAAAATAGTGTAGGGCTAAGAGTAAGAGAGTCTGTGAAACTAGATTCATTAACTTAGCTATTGTGATTAGCAGATTGTTAGAATAGAGTTTTATAGGTCACTAAAAAGCATTTGGAAAGTTTGTTTCAGTAATGGTGTTAGAAAAACATTTTCCTGCCTCACAATAAAAATTTTTGGATTGTTTTTATATTATTTTTATAGGGTTTTCATCATTTTGTATAAGGACTTCATTGCTGATGTTATGTAATATAAAGATAGAGAGGAACGAGATCTTAGCATGTGCATAACTATGCATGTACCTGTTATTTGTTGAAATAGAATGTTTATATTAATGCTTATAAAATGGAAAAACATTTAGTGAAAAAATTTCAAACAGCTGCCCCAGTTAGCTTTACGTTGTACTTCTGATTATCATTTTAGATTTTCCTTAGTTTTGTGCTTATTATGGATCTGGTAGACTCATTGCATGCTGAAATAACTTGAACAAACCAATTAGAAAGAATTAAGTTATAAAAATAATGTACAACAATTTCACTCTGAAAGATGTATCTTTTTACATTGATGACAAAACGTGTTAATTCAAGTAAAATTGTGTCACATTATACAGTTCCTTTCTAAAATTTAGTAACATCTATCATTTGGTTTTAAAGGAATTTTAATTTTTCTTAAAGTTATAGTTGTCCTATATGCCTCTCTCCTCGACTGAAGATGGTGACAGGGATGTGCCAGCACAGAATTTGCACTGAATGTCTGTATAACAGTGAAAATGGTATACTGAAAACAAGCATGTCCAGGTGTCCAACATGCCAACAACCTGCAGTATTTCCACCAGAAAGGTTTGATTTTAGTGTATTATATTTTAAGGGATCACATTAATATGTAATAGTGCATATGTGCTGTGTCTGTATGCACACATGTGTAGGGATTTAGTACATTATAGAAAAATTATTTTGGAGCCTCACCATATAAACATAGTTCATATCACCACATCTGTTCATGGTCTGTCTGATGATTGTCCATCTTGACAATAGCCCTTCATCCTAGACCCCATTGCAACAGGCTCTGTTGTATTGCTGTCATGTATAAAGCATACCTCTCTGGCTGAATGCTTTTCATAAGCCATCTAGCATACAAGGATTATAATTTTCCAGTGCCTGCTTCAACAGTCCAGTTGCACAGAAATCCATACATGTCTTGTCTGGCAGCTTGACCATTATACCTTTATATGGAATAGCATAATACCTGTTTTTTTCTATGTCTGCTAGAGATAAGCAATGTTTGAATAAATATTTCCTGAAAGTAACTTGTGTCACTTTTCCAGATGGAGATCTTTATGTTTTGTATTGTTGCTTGTGGTACTTGAACTGCTTTTGTCTCTGACCTTTCTCTTCATGGATTCTCACCTATTACAAGATGTCACACACTGCTTACCATTACTTCAGTATGACTTGTTGCTGATCTCTTTCTGGATGATCCGGGTGCCTCGAGTTTATCCATATTTCTTTGTTTTCCAATGCCATTAAGTACAAAGGATATTCTTGTCTTTGAAATTCTAAATCTCCAGTGTGAACACATTTTATGAGTAGAGTTGGGCAATTTAACTTGAGAATTAGTGTCATAAAATTATCAGTTAATGAAAGTCAGAATTAAATCAATGTCCCAAAAATAATACCCTTATTGAAATTAGTTTTCTCTATCTATAATCATAATATTGGCATTATGATTTCTCATTATTATTATTAATTAACTCAAGATTGTTCAGCTAAATTAACATGATCAACTAATTTAAATTGTGTTACCAATTATTTCTGTTTTCAGTAATCCAACTATCCAAATCTCGTGAGAATAATAGTTTAGCTGAATGTAATCAATTAATGACCTTGATGATTAATCATTTAGCAAATTCCATTTATTGCCGAGATTTATAGTTACGAGTTGAGTGTCAGAATACTTTGCTGTTACACACCCTTCACCAAAACCACCCATTTTTGGAGTCATCACACTACCTACATAATGTCAAACCTTGCTAAAATGTAGTTCTGATATGTCATTCCACCATGATTGTATTGGCAGTAGTTGTCACATGACTTACTGATTTGCATATTCAAAGTTGTTTTAATATAACATACTCAACCCTGTATTCAAACATTTAGATACTTCCAAAGTTTTAGTATACAGGAGCTCCTTGGATTTCTTATATTTACTTTATGCTTGAGAAGGACTGTATAAAGTCACAAAACTGTTTTTTTTTTATAATATCTCTTATATACACGTGCTAGGGGAAAAAAAAAAACTTTAACTCATAGTAATTTGTACATTTTATGGACATGCATAGAGCCATAGTGATATAAGCCACTAACTGTTGCCCTCTGTAATATTTTCCTTTGTAAAAGGATTAACATGTTTGTGACAATTTGTTATCTAATTAACAAGAATGTCATAACTATATTCAGAACACCTGTAAAAGTTTAGAAACTTACCTAAATATATCCATATAGATATATGTTATACTAGTTATGGAAGGGTGAAATTAACCCATTGACAGCTGATTTGCCTTATAGGGTACAGTCTGCATCCAGCAGTTGAAAGCAAGTGTGCTGTATACAGTGTATGGCATGCAAAAGTTGTGCATTTGTTTACAGTAGCACTGTGAAGGGGTTAATAGCTGTTCCAGCTTTAACACTTCTAATGCAAATTCCTCGCATGAGAAAAATTCATGGGAATGTTTTGAAGCTTTCTATTTTTGGGGTTTCGTTTCAAAGGCAAAAATTTGTTAAAGGGTAGCTTTGCTTGCTCGTTTTCCAAAGGAATTTTATATACCATTTTGAAATTCTTATCTAATTTTCTATAAGATGATACTTAATACAAATTTCTAGCACAAAAGGTTTTGAGTAAATGACTAAAAGTAGAGAGGTCACCCATATACCAAATTTTGATTTACTATAACTTGACTCCATAGCCCAGTCAGGCTGAAAAAAAACCTTATGTACTGCATTTGGTGTTATGCATGCAGTGTAAGGCCTATGATAATTAATCATGATTGAAACAATGATAGGGTACCTATATGTTTTTTTTTTTCATATCATTATATTTAAATGCTTTTGAGAAGTTTCAAGATGTAAACATTTGTACGTACATACATTTATAATTTAGTGATATATTACTAACTTTTGAAGAACATTTTAAACTTATTTTTCTTTGATAACCATTATGGAAGGCATCATTGCAATTTTTGATGTCATTTTTGGAGTAAAATTAACTTAGAAACATCTCGGAAGTACTACATAGATTTAGTAAACATGAAGTTTGCTGAAATTAGTCACTAATGTGGTTTCATGTACCAGTTATTGAGTAAAATTTTAAATAAGTAGTGACATTTTTATTTGATTGAAAATAAGTGTTTCCTATTATAAAAAGACATTTTTCTGAACAGACCAAAGGAAGAAAGTAGTAAAACTTTCACGGTTCTTTAATTATCAAGACTATAAACAACTGTTGTCAAAGTCCACCCCCCTCATTATTTTTTGCAGTTAATAGCCATGGTTTGATTGTCTACTTGGGAGTTTTGATTTCTGTTATTTAGTTACTTTATTCTGTAGTATCCAAGCATTTTATCTTTTGTTGATTTTATTACCATTAATACAAGTTCTTTTATATATCAAAAAAGGCCTAATATCCCAAAAGATAACATCTTGATCCAGAAAATGTTGGGAGTAAGACAGTGTCCCAATTGTGGCTGTTTCAACGAATTCTGGGAATGGGAATTAAGTGACCATTTAAAGTAAGTTCATTTTCTGAACATATGGGGTAAAGTTTATATATTTATCATTGTTATGGCATATTCTACATTTATATATAATATTAATCCTACAATGTACATATGCATAATTTTTCATACTGCACATGTTACATATTAACATAAGTGATTTGGTTTGTATGTAAAAGAAGACATGCATTAAAGATGGAAAAAATATCTTAAAGTGAGTTTTATCTAGGACAGATAAACCATGATCTCAGAGGGAAATATTAATCCTGCTTTACTTTTCTCCTAAATCAGACTTGATTTTGACATATCCCGAGAGATCAATAATTATTTTAATAATGATGCTCAAAGCTGCTTTTCAAATATAAGTACCTGATTGTTATTTTTTAAAAGTTGAATATCAAATATTGTTTATTTTATTTACAAAGAATGTTCTCATAATGCATTAAAATTAAGATCAGATAAAAAGAGAGCAAAAAGTCTTGGCTGTGTACGAGGGATGTCCCCGGTAATCAATGAAACAAAGATTTTTCAGTACAGAAAACGGAGTCTAAAGTTTGCTTCTAATGTCTCTGGAAAGTGGGAAACTGTTTTAAGTACTGGTTTAAGAAAGCGAAGGAAAACAATATATGATCTTCGAGAAATTCATACCTCTAAATAAATTATTATTTAGGTGATTGCATAATAATGCAACATACAAAAGGCTTTGTTAATGTACAAAATATTTGCATTTCAGGTGCTACTGGAATAATATTTAAATTTTTTATGACTATCTTTCATGTTGAAGAGTCAGTAAACTAAATTTTCATTACTGTACACAGTTCAACTTGTTTAATTACATTTTCAGGTAGTATCGACATCAATTATGCCATTTTAGCCTGTCTTTTTCTAAGTGTGAATGAAATTTATAAATTGTTTTTCCAATTTAATATTAATTCATGACATCTATTTCAAATGTTAGTTCTATGGGATCCTCAAAGAAAATTGGTAATAGTTTGTGTTCAGTGTAATTTACCGAAAAAAAAAAGTAAAATTTTTCATAACCATTTAAAAACTTTATTATCATTAAGTTGTAAAAAAAATACAACTAAAGTGATTTTCTCTGCATTCTACTGAGTTGAATAATGTTAAATACAATTTCTAGTAATGATACCATATTTTTGAGTATGTTGGATCTATTTACATTTATAAAAGTGTGGACAAAATATTGGTGAATGGTTTTTATATTTGGTTTAAAATCTTAAGTCTGGATTACTTACAATTGCAAGTAAGCTAGATTGTACTGTGCATATTTAAGATGTATGTTATTTATTATTAAAGATATATCACTATAATATAATTCTAAACTAAAGCACTATAATAAATAATTTCTATAGAGTAGAAATTTAATCATGTAGTATTATTAATGTTTGTTCATAATATTTGAGTATTTGTACATTTCCCAATATATTTTTTTAGGATTTTGGTGAATTATTGAATCAAGATTAAACAAAAACAAGTTATTTTTTTCTTTTTAATATTTAAAATCATGATTTTAAGTTTCAAAAATGTACATTGATAGTTTCCTTTTCTTTCTTACTAGCAAAATAGTTTAACTTTGTTGCTGAATGTAAAAAAGAATTAAACATTGAATACAACATTGTAATTCCTTTCATAAAGTAATTCCTCATAGAAATATTAGGTGTAAATTCAAGAAACATTTTAGCTGAAATTGTAATTTAAAATTTATATAAACTAGTCTCAGATATGAAATAACTGATTAATTAATGGTTTTATTCAATAAATGTATGTACAACTTGGATACTTTAGTTTCTTGGCATAAATGTGTAATATGAAAAGTAGTCATACATGTTTAATCCAATTTATACAGAAAAAACATTTAAAATAAAGGATTATACATTTGTAAATTTTGATATAGTAGAAAATATCCACTTGTTAAAAAAAATCCATTGGTTTGTGGTAATATTTTGATGATGTGAAACAATCGGTGTGTATATGGGCAATTTCAGTATGGCAAGTGTAAAATATAGTTAAGTATTTAAAGTGTATGCTGTAATTTGAATTTTATGTTAAAGAAAAAAAAATAAAGATCTAGGTTTTAACAAGACGTTTGAAATGTTCTTTAACGTAATATATTTTATATACACAGTTTTTTTTATAGGATGATTGTAAAGTTTCAATACCTAACATGTTTTAATTTATTCAATGTGCTTAAAGTTTTGGAATAAAGATTATGCTGAAAATTTGTACTAATAATTTTACATTATGTTCAAAAAGGAGTTGGACTGTAAAGAGTAACCTCCTTACTGTTAAATATAATGGTACTTTGATTTGATTTTTACTTTTATATATAAACAACATTAGGTGGTTGTGAACAATAATGGAAAACTGACAGTGTGAATGTGTGTAGGGGAACTAATTCCTATATGTAATGGTTAGATGTGTTGTTCATACTTTCTGTAACTTGGTCAGGCAGGATTTTTTCTTTGGTTAATGTTTGTTTACATGTAGACAACTTTATGTGTTTGTTACTTGTAATTTAAATGATCAGAGACAAGTAGTTTGGTGCAGGAAAATATTAATAAGTTTAACATGCTTCTGTTTTGTGAAACATGGAGCTTGAAGACAGTGGTTAAGATATACTCTTTGAGATTTCACTAGATACAGGTTTTCAAAGTATGAAAAAGAAATATTCGTATTTGAAAATAATTGTTCATCAATGCACTTTTAAGAAAACTCCATCTATGATCAATCAAGAAATAAAAGGGTATAGAGCAGCATCAAGAATGTGTAGTTATGAAGCTACGTAACCTTGTGTAGGTTAGTATGATGTATAAACAAAAATTTACACTGAATATGCACAAAAATAATCCTAAAAAGAACAAATCAAACCCTGTGATAAACTTCATAAAAATAGCTAAATAAGGACTTCATCTGAGGAAGCCTTGTGGCTAAAATGTAGAAACTTTTTTGTAAATTTCCCACTTCTTTTCTTACTCTTATTTTTACTGTAAATTTTGTACTTAAGAAAATAAAAATGATATAGAAACAATCCCAAAACATGTTGCATTGCGTTCAAAGTCAATATTTCATCTCGTCAACAAGTTTATGCTGAGACCTTCAATGTAGGCATGGGGGAAAAAACTAGATTGCAACTCATTATATTTTTATCATATGTTTTAAATCTAATTTAATAGAAGTAAAATATACTATACACATATCTACAGCATGGATAATTAAAACTTTAATAACAAAATAAAATAGTACCTATAAAAATTTTTCTTTTACAAAGTTAATTTTATACTATTATGGAAACAAAATTGTCAGTTACGACTGTGGCTCAATTAATAAATCTTGTTAATTTTCATAGTTTAATTACGTGTAGAAATCTTTCAGCAGGCGTAGATAATTTTAACTATGTGACACACAAGTTTAACCTAAGTACATCTAGAACATATAATATAGAAATATCCTTATTTTTGTAAGTACTTAAATTCTTTATTGTTAATGTTATACACTTTGTTAAAAGCCCTAGCCTAACAGGATGTGTCCAGCCTTGAGCTCCACTAATATTGCTTTTAATATATTGTCTTGCATATTGAAGATTTATTACATAATTTGTCTATAACACCTGGTATATGTGATGGCTAATTCATGGTACTTAACAAGATGTTTTTAAGCAAACTGCATCCTACATTTTGGGACTTTGGATACATTAAAAAAATGGTCAAATTCATCTACAGTGGCCCAAGAGTTTGTAATGGGTTTTGCTAAAGAGCTGTTTTTTTCTTCTAGTCTGAACTCAAAGTTAGGGATGGTTAGCTCATGTTGTAACTATGTAGCTTTAACCATATATCAAAAACAATTAGTTCATATTAAGTGTGGATTTCTCAGAAGTGTTAGTTAGTTATATGTTTATTAAATTAATGAAAGTTTTAGGTATAGTCATTAGGAGCTTCACTGATTGCTTTATGTAGGACGTTACTTTTATGTTTCAGCTATTGTTAACATTCTCTTGTTGAATTGAAAGTAACTAGACTTTTGGCTTGGTGTTCTTGTATTGACAGAAGAGTTTTAAGGAATATTTTAAAGGATATTATCTAGGAAGTGTGGCTAATATTTGAAGTCTGAATCTGAACATCTTACTGGTATTCAGCTTTGTATTTTTTTATTATGTTCCCCCCACTCCCTAGTGGCTCAGTAGTAGGCTTGAGTACTTATAATGTTAAAATTGTGATTCTGTTCCTACAGCGGTTACAGTACTAATAACCCATTATACAGCTTTATGCTAAATGTCAAAGCAGAACAGGAGAAAGACCAGGATTTGAGGCCAATGATTAATTTTCTAAAAGCGAGTGTTGTGCGCCCTGCTTGGGAGAAGGTGTCTAGTCTAAACCCCGTGACAAAGCACTATTGGGCACAATGGGACCAGTTGAAGCTTAAAAATGGTATTCTTGTCCGGAAATGGGAAACTACAGATGGGAAAGTGACGACTTGGCAAACAGTTATACCGAGGAAGTTACGGAAAGTTGTGCTGCATCAATCCCATGATAGCTTAAGAGGAGGACATCTCGGAATTAGGAAGACATTGAGTCATCTACGACAAAGATTTATGGATAGGTATGAGGCGAGATGTGGAAGAATGGT